TAAAATTTTAATTTATTATTATTATTTATGTTTCCACTGATATTGCATTTCAATTTTGATATAAGGACTCAGAAGACTTTTATTTTTATGTACATACTGATAATTCATTTACATTTCTATGTCTGCTTTTTACAGATGAAATTCTACATTTCTAAAATAAGATAAAGTTGTACATATGTGTAAGTTTATGAACAGTTTCATGTTTAGCTGTTCTAATTATACTGCACAAATCATATCAAGCCTTGTTCATAGCTACTGAAAATACATTTCTCAGTGCAGGTACAAGAAAAGTATGGAACACTAATCTACCAGTTGGATCAAGTAGAAATTCATCATAACCTATGAGTTTTCTGTGATTCAATGGTTCAATTATAAATTTAGAATTATGTATTAATTCAATTCAATTTTATGCTTTGTGTATTAAGAGTAATCCTGTTGAATTTTACTTAAGTGAGGAAATGAACATTTCATTAAACTTTTTTCTGCACCACCAGATGACCATGGCTTTGTTTTTCAGAAAATTCTTTGAACAACACTATAGAAATGATTTTTCCACGTAGCTAATTAACGTGTCTATTCTGTTTCCTGTTTTTAATTTCATGGTAAGTTTCTGAACTAATAAATTAATGTTTGAAATGTTACACTAAACTCTAGTTCTAAGGTAAAGCCAATGGTCTAACCTCTTTGAAGGTCAAATTATAAATTATTCTTATGAGGAAGCAAGATACAGACACTCCATAAGCAAAATCTCAAAACTAGGCTTCTTGATGAAGGCACATAGATACTCTGCAGTCATGGCCCGATAGAAATATGGACTCCAAGTTATAACAGCAGGTTTTGGATGTTCATTGGAATCTCAGCAGCTATACTATGACTGATTTAATTTGTCATTAGTTATACTCAGTCATACATTCCAATGAATTCTTAATGGTTCCCTCAAAGTCATCAAGAGACAGTAAGAAATTCTGTACTTGTCATGGTAGGGTCACATTACTAATTGTAGGAGCCCAAGATGGGTAAGTTTGAAGGTCAAACATGGATGAAATCCAGGTAAACATGCCAAGCATCACCACAGCAACACCGAGAATATTAACTCCAAGTCCAGCTTTAACCTTGAATAGGAAAGAGCATAAATGTCAGTCTCCCCAAAGGAAAACCCATAGAAAAAATAAAATATGGTTGCAGAAAGATATGACATAGTCGCCTACATCCTAAATGACTAGTTTACATTGTTGTGTTATTTCATGAAGCAATGAGTTTCTGTCTCATAATTACCAAAGAAAATCTATCCCCAATTAAATATCACTTCCTTAGACACTCTTGGAACAGTTTTTCTTAAGAATATACCTAAGTCATTCTGATTAGAGAAAATCCTCATAAATATCTGTTCTTGTATATTAAGTCAGAATTCAAGTTTTACGCTTTTATATTTCAATGTATAAATTTCAGGACACCATATGATAACTGTATCCTTCATATTCACTTAACTTTATTACTAATTCACCCTGAAATATTCTCTTACTAAAATTTTATAATGCCACTTCAACTCTAGGTGTTCCCATTTTTCTAGCTGGTGCCCATTAAACAATTTCAAAATTGCTTTCTGTCCATTAAAATAGAGATGTTCAAACTTCTGCTCTTTATCTCTTTGCTCGTACAGTGCTGTTAGACCACAACTATGCATGTATATTTGAATATTGTCTTTGGCTGCATTCATGGTGCAATAACAGGGTTGAGCATGTATTTGTGACAGAGACTGTGGCCCATGGAGCCTCAACTATTAACTGTCTGGCCCTTTACTGACAATGTTTGGCTGCTTGTGAATTCCCTGAATTAAAGCACAGAATTGAAAAGTAAAAGGGGGTACACTTAACAATGATTATTATAGACACCTTCTTCCCTGTCCATGCAGGCCACTTATTTATTCCAGAATTGTATTTTCATCCATTTTAACACACACACACATATATATATATATATATAATCATAGCATATATACATTTTATTTAACAAAATGAGTATTAGTAAATTTTATTTATTTAATGAAAAGACAATATGTGATTTCTCAGTAGAAATATTTCCAGATTTTTGTTGTTGTTGTTGGGATTCATGGATGGCAATCTGAATGGAAGGGAGGAAGCTGGCACTTGCCTTGGATCTACATTTTCATAGCAAGCTCATCAAATTTACTTTGGATATATTCTTATTTGAATTACTTTGGAAGTCGGTGAAGACTGGGTTAAGACTAGAGTATTCTCAAATTAGTTCCTAACAACCACTAATTTAAATTTGGGGAAAATGTGCATGTTTTATCACTTAAATTTTCCATTATTACTGGCTTGTGCTTTTAGGTGCCATATTAGAATCAGAACAAGAAAGGTGCCTTTTCATCAGTCAGGCACTGAGCCTAATTTCTTGTTCAAAGCAAATGTCGTTGCCTAAAATATTTGTGATAGCAAATCATAGTGCTGTTTAATTGCTGGATTTCGTTATCAGTGTTTCTTCCTTTTGCCTACATCCGGTTGGATCCTGATCTTGACATGAAAAATTTAAGCTTTTGTGCTGAACAATTTTTTACTTTTCTTTTTCTAGGCCATTACTAATGCACTTGATATCTCCGTATTTGTGACTATAAATTCTTTTTTTTTTTTGTACCAGGGATCGAACTTGGTACTTTGCACTTGCAAGGCAGGCAGCGGCACCACTGAGGTAAATCCCCAGCCCTTGTGACTATAAATTCTAATATCATGTTCACTTCTTGGTATCACCCTTAAAAACCAGTTCTATGACCATTCATGCACATAACTACAAAAACAGAATTCAGGACATACTTTCCCAAGGAACATCAGTGTGTAAAAGTTGAACCTATTCAAGACAACACACACACATACACACACAATGTGTATTGTCTCTGATAATAGTCTTTTAGCTAACTCACCATGTCAATAACTTTCAGATGACCATATGAAAAAACAATAGCATTGGGTGGATTTGCTACTGGGAGAAGAAATGCAAATGAGGTACACAGAGTAGAAGGCAGCAGAATTTGAAGAGGGTTCACATGAATGGCTTCAGCCTATTATAAAAGAAAAAGAAGTGGAAATAAAATCTTGAAGGTAGGCACCAGATACTGAAATTAAAAAAAACTTCCTGAAGTAGATTGAAACCTAATTATATAAAACTGTGCACACAAATGAAGTTATAACTTGAAGAGTATTGTTTAGAAAGGTTTCTTCCTCTTATTCTTGTTTACATGGGTATTGTTGGGTATTTAAACATTATAGTTCAGTTCATCTACAAAATAAGGTTTCAGTTATTCCAGAAACTAAGGACAGCAACCATTTATTGTTTGTCATGCCAGGTGCAGCGCTAAGTGTTTATGTATACAAACATTTATATATAATATAAAAAATAATATAACTAATGATATATATTTTAGAGTTCTACAATCTCATGAGATGGCTCATGAGATAATTCAGAAAAACAGATGAAGACACAAGCCCAGAGAGGCTAAAGGAACTTATCCAAGCACACAGCTGGCAAGCAGGAGAGCTCAGGTAAGGTTCTAGGTCCCTCTGGCTCTAGTGCTTCTACTTACACCACCAACCTCATTGCTTCTATGACAAATGCAATTTAACACTGTCTTAGGAACAATTACAGAAGATATATTAGTATTCTTAATTAATCACATCATTTTCTTGCTATTCCATCTTAAAAAAATAAAGAAAGAGAAAAAAGATATTTTGCCAATAATTGTTTGTTAATAACACCCTACATTTTCCAGGAGTAGCTCAAAGCCTCAACATATAGCCTATGAGCTGGAAGTAGAATAACTGCAGAAAGATAGTTGCTCTTCCTCTTTTTCTGTTTTTTATAAGACAAACTTTCTTAATACAAAAGGGCTTGCTTTTATCAAATAATTCCATCCTGATAAGAAAAACATCATGCCTAAAGTTGTTACTTGTAATTGGTAACTAAATGTGGAGAAGAGAAGATAAGTCTTGCTCAGGTTGGGGATTTAGCTCAGTGGTTCTGCCACCTGCCTTGCAAGCAGAAGGACCTGAGTTCGATTCCTGATACCAAAAAAAAAAAAAAA